AAGAACGCAGTACCAGGGATTCCTTCTCTTACCTCATTTTCTCTTGTTTATGAGTAAATAGAGGCTAAATTTTTTTCACGAAGGCCCTCATTTGCGCTTCACATACAAGTTTGATTTGTGTACCGGAATCTTCCTACTTCTTCAATAGAGAACACACACAAAATGAAAGCACTAGACAATTCTTTGGTTTCTTGTGCAAAGACCGCAAAAGCTGTCCGTATGACGACGTACAATGAAMACGATGTCACGCTATTCAAAGTGTCACGCAGTACCACTTTGATGGAATGTTTTCCCCTGGCCGGGATTTGARCGGATTTTGAATAATTTGTAAATTATTCTCCTCAATGAATTCCGCTAGTCTTTTAGTATCTATAGTCTGTCGGAGATTCCCTTTTAGAGTAGAATTGAGCAAAATGTAAATTGGTAGTGTGTTCCGCAGTCCGGTGGTTTGTGTTAGCTAAAGCATTACAATATTGAAAACATTATTGAATTATCGGATAACTGTCGGATATTTTCGAACAATAATGACGACATTGCATAGATTTATAAAGGCTATCGGATATTCAACTTTATAATACACTAAAGAAACCCTAAAAAAACATTAAAAGCATCGTCGATATCGTGTCCTGAAATTATCTCAGCAGTAACAGGAAAAAGTTTGGCAAGTAAACGTTTTCGATCGAGCTTTAGTATTAGAATTTCTGATGTCGATCTAAAAGGTATTCAAACAATTTAGATATTCTGACCCTTTTATGTTGGATATATAACAATATATCGGAACGTTGTTTTTAGTACTATTCCAACTTGTCGTACTACATGCATGTAGGTGGTCGGTACGATCGATATCTTGATATGCTGGTCATTTTATATGTCTAATCCATTGACCTGCTGTCTACGCTAAATTTATGTAAAGAGCAACTAAACTAAAAAAAACACACCTCTTTTTCTATCTAAAAGACACAAAAGAGCAATCATCATTGTAATTCGACTCGATTCAACAATCTCGAACATTAAGTGTCAATCTCTAGCTGACCTAAAAATAAAGACAGCGTTTTTGCTGTCAAACTGTYAAGCGAAGTGCSGTTTTAAGCAAAAACAATTAAACAATCMTTTCAGTTATACAAACGTGTATCCAKTTAGCTTACCTGTGCTTTGATGAAGAAGTAAGAAAAATATTACGACGCGGAAGTACCATCGTTGTTTCATGTTGACTGCCTCCATTACTGTACTGCTCGATTACACAAGAATGTATATAGACACAGCCATGAATAATTTCCGGTCAAAAGTAAACACTAGGGGACGGGTGGGTAGGTAGGCAGACCAGAACTTAGCCTAATAGGCGATTTGCATTATGGCGTCATTTACTRCAACWACCRGAATGCTTTGCCCACTTTCTTTTGTAATGCAATTAGTGCCAATTGTTTTACTAATCGCTAAGGGGATTAAAAATCTGAATAACAAAGAAAATGCGCAAGGCTTTCTGGTAGTTGTAGTAAAGTTACGCCATCATGCAAATGGCCTATTAATTKAATCCAAAACGTCTATATCAAATAAAGAAACTGTGTGAAATTCAGTCCTCGTACAACACTGCGCGGTAAAAAATGTTTTGCAGATCAATCATGACTCGTCTTTTTACCACAWTGAATATTTTTCAATTTTAAATGCTTTTTTGYYTTGAAAAAAGRCCCACTTTTCAGCTGAAAGTGATCTGTCACTTGCGMTGTTTCGTTTTCGCAAATGATTGCCGGTTCGATAATGATGTAAAATACCTAGCATTGAATGATGTCAAGACTTGTACTATCTAAACTAAGTATATCTCTGGATCAGGCTTCAAATTTCAGAAAAAAGTTACGATTGAAAACTATTATGTCACTTTAATGACATCATACGATATGCTCCATCAAAATTTCAACTGTTTGTTATGGAAGAGTGCAAGCATTAAAACCATGAAAAACTCAAATAATAGCAAACAGGACTCTAAACTGTCTAAATTACGTAACCGTCTTTCTTTTTCATTGTCTAATCTACACAATATTGCGCTATGTAGCACTATTTGGTAAGTGCTTTTTCACGCTTTTAGTATTTGCACTCTAAACTCAGTAAACTATTTAATTTTTCACAAAACATAATGTGAAAGTAAATAAAAATAGGAAGAATAGTTGAGTTTCRCGATCTCTTTTACGCTGTGTTAGCCTCAATTGTGTGCAAAATATTCAGAAATGTAGATAAAACTCGTGATCATTACAAACTATTTCCATTGTCTTCTATACTCACAGATCTCTTGCATTTGCACGGGCTG